TAAGAGTGCTTACCCAGAGAGAGAATGAAGTGTTCCCCCCCCCAAACACACCAAGTTTATAGACTTCTAACTTAGGCACACTGTATGTGATTTGCAGCCCTGAACACAAGTCATTTCCTTTTTTCCATTTCACAGAGCTCCATGCACAAAAGGATCTAACTTCCATGCACACACACACACACACCCCACACACACCTGTTTGGAAGGAATACAAATAAGAGATGCAAGGGGAGCCTTGTAAGGAAAATTGTAAGGAAAAAATCTTATAATGTGTGATGGGGAAAAATAACCAGAGGGTTCATTTGTTTTTGCAGACATATATTCAGTCTCTGCTATCTTGCAAAGTGTCCTATTCCCACCCTGACCCTCACATGCACCATTTACCATTTGTTTTACACAAGTGGCCTTCTGCTTAGACATACTCAGCTTCAAGATCAGGTGAGACTCCACAGGGACATACCCACGTGCTCATTCAATGGTGCACTTTCAAATCTCCCTACTCTGTAAGAGATTCACCGTGGTCCAGATTGGGTCACATCATGTCTACTTTTGGGCTCAAGAAACAGCACGTCCAAATCATTTTCCGGCAACACATCATGCTGGCGTTAAACAACCGCTGTCCTGGGGAAACTAAGAACTGCCTCCATCAACAAGACATGAAAGCTCCACAAAAGGTGATCATTCTTTTCCATTTTAGGTTCCAAGTAGCTAACATAGGTGCATGTGGGCCTTTTTTGTGGACTTCTTTACCAACTGCTGCATGGCCAACAGAATACTGATCACAGATGCATGTCTTATACCTTTAATTCCAACTGATGGGGCTCCTGCTGCAACAGCCGCCAAAGCATACTCAATCTGAACAAGCTTTCCAGAAGGGCTGAAAGAAAAGACACGGTCAATTCATTCATGAGAAAGCTTGGCGTGGAAACACTCCGAGACTGGAACATGCCTCAACAAGGAACTCGATTGGCTACTTTTCAAGGAAAGGATTTGGGGCACCTTTAATACAGCAATGCATACACAACTAGGATAATGGAGTCAAAACTGACAAAGTAATGATCTATTACTATAACTCTTGTGCGCACACTCTTGGGAGTAAAGTTCACTGAGCCTTATTTTGGAAGAAATCTCTTTAGGACTATGCTGCATAATTCATGCGGCCATGAGCTCAGCTAATTCCAAAGTAAAAACATCAGAACAGTTTTACTTTCACTTTTGGTATTCACATTCAAGACTTCTGGAGGAACACTTTAGACAACGGAGGCCACAATCCTATCAACATCTACCAAACAGTAAAGTCCACTGCTACTGAGTAAACGTGCTACAGAGTAAAACTCTATAGCCTCTATTCTGACATACTTACTCTGAAGTAAACCCAAATGAATATAAGTGGTTAAGTGTGCGGACTCTAATCTGGGAGAACCGGGTTTGATTCCCCACTCCTCCACTCGCACCTGCTGATGTGACCTTGGGTCAGTCACAAGCTCTGGCACAGCCGTCCTTGAAAAAGAGCAGTTTGTGTCAAAGTTCTCTCAGCCCCACCCACCTCACAGGGTGTCTGTGGTGGGGAGGGAAAGGGAAAGGAGTTTGTAAGCCGCTCTGAGACTCCAAGTGAAGGGTGGGGTATAAATCCAATCTCTTTTCTTCTTCTTCTTCTAAAGAGACTTGCTGCCAAGATAGCACCCACAGTATATCGGTAAAATACTAAATTCTCATGACATCACAAAACTGTTGAAAAATGTGTTGAAGCCCATACAGCTGTATCTGACGAAGGGAACGTTGACTGTCGGAAGCTCATATCCCAAAAAGCCTGTTGGTCTCTGAGGTGCTTCCTGTTCCTGCATAGAAGTTGGTCACTATGCTCCTTCATAAGCCACACTATCACAAACGGCAGCTACTATTATTATAGTCCTAAGAATTGTGCATTTAATGGAGACAACCAAATGCTGCAAGATGAAAGAAGTGATTGGCGGTGGCAGGCATCACATAAATGGCATCACCATGTTTCTGAGCCAACAAGTGAAGAATTAAACATGTTCAGTTTCCATTTTGCCTAATCACGATGTACAATAGTTTAATTACATTTTTAGTAGTGTAAGTCAACATAAGTCAGCCAAACGAGTTTTGAATAAATTTGAAACTGGCCAACAAATCTGAAGTCTCAGGACAGTAAAACTTTATAGATAAACTGTAAGAACATGGTATTTTTCCAAACCATAGTTTTAAAATGTATAAAACGTCTTATCATTCTCTCAAATAATAGATCTGAATGAAGCAACCAAAAGTTCCAAATTCTCTTAAGTGCACTGAAAGGGTTTTTCTCTCTTGCTCAGGAATCTATTGGCCAGCCCTGTCTCAGCACTGCACTCACTGGTTCAACTGCAAACTCAGTTTACTTCTTCCAAATAACAGTGCAATCCTAAAAACACTTTCTGGAGAGTAATACGCACTGAGAACACGGGAGTAGAATTCTGGGTTGACCTGTTTAGGCTTGAATTAAAAGTCTACTAAATCCAAGCCTTCTGGTTATGATATGAAGCGGCCTCTCCTCATCCTTCAAGCAAATGCCACAGCTCCTTGCTTGCTACCTTGGCCAAATTAATTTTTATAACTATTGCTAGAGTGCCCAATTAGTAATCTGTTTTCAACTTTCTTATTTAACAATTAACGTTTATGTGAGATAACTCACTCTCATAATTTTAATAGTTCAATAAGGAAACAGAAACAGATTACTAACAGGGTGCTCTCACCAATAAACCAATCCATTAATTTAAGCAAGATGGAAAACACATGATTCACCATTGTGTGCATGTGTCAAATTGTTCATATTGAAGTATTTATATACAAGTTTCACACAAACTTAAATAGTCTACTTTCGGAGCTCTCTCTTTCCACACGTACGCTGCAGTGTCAGAACAGGATCTGGGAGGCCCAGGCTCAAACCCACACTCTGCGACGAATGTTTCCTTGGCGGGCTTTGGGCCAGTCACACACACTCAGAGTAACCCACCTCACAGGACAAAGTTTAAGTCCAGGGGCACCTTTAAGGCCAACAAAGTTTTGGGGAGGATAAACTTAAAAGGAGAATTGTGTTAGCTGCTCTGGGTCCCCACCAATGTTTCCTCTAAGCTGTGGAGTCCTGTGAGCAGAAATTCTACTTTGTAAGCCACCGACATTAAAGTTGTGAGCAGGTGATTTGGCCACTGCATAAATTAGTTTGCTCTGGAGCCCTCCTTCCTGAGCTAAGAGAAAAACGTGTGAGCCGGAGGCTAAAAAACTGTGAGCTAGCTCACACTAACTCAGCTTAGAGGGAACACTGGTCCCCACTGGGGAGGAAAGCCAGTATATAAACGAACACATCAATAATTAGTAGACTCAGATAATGCAGGACTCCAGTTCCAATGCCTCTTTGTTAACGCTTACATTTACGTGCTAATTTGCGGCCGTCCATTGCGCCTACGCGCCACCCATTCCGATTTCAGCTCTGCTTATGCACCAGGGCTCTGAGCGGCCTCTCCTAACAGTTCTTCCCCCCCCCCCACCCTCTTTCCCCCTGTAACTAGCTGCTGAGATTCTATCCCAGTTCTGTCTGAGGAAGCGCGCTCTGCACACCGAAGCTTACACTTTGCTGGTCTTAAAGGTGCCACTGGTCACTCAAACTCTGTTCAAATAAATAAGCACACAGATAAACATAAGACATCCGTGGACAGGTGCCCATTTACTCCTTCGCAAAAAATCTGACTCCAGCCTACAGCGCTTCCCCCCCAAAAAAACACCGCTCCTTCGGGCCTCCCCCGTGACAGGCCGAGGCAGGACCGGCAGCGGTGACTCCACAAAACCGTCGCTCGCCCTCGCCAGGCGGGCCAAGCTCGGCCCCAGCCGGTCCTTCAGGCTCCCGACCGCAGCTCTGGGCCCACATCAGCCCGGGCCGCTCGGGTTGGCCCACCGGCGAGCTTCCCTTCTCCCCTCCAAAGCAAGCGGCTTTTTACCTGAAGGTGGTGAGAGAGAAACTGTAGCCGCGCTCCGCCATCTTGCCCCGCACGACCCGAAACCCCGCCTCCTCCGCCGGCACCTGATTCTGCGACTGCGCGGAGTGGAGCGCGGAGCACTGCTGCTTCCCCCTAGAGATAAGGTGCAAGTCGAAACGGCGTGCAGCATACACTTCGGGTAATGCTCGAGAGCGTTGACTCTCTTTAGGATCCTTCGGGTATTACATGTGTCTCACGGGGAAATTATTCCAGAGGGAGCAATATTCCGGAGCGGGGAGCGGGGAGCATCAAGTGACGTCTTAAGGGTTGACATGCCCCCCCCCCCCAGCAGAAGCATTTTGAGAATAGAGTCCAGTTCATCCAGATGCAAGAACTGAATGGCATTCGCGTGTGTACGAAATCTCTGTCAAGGGCTCCACTGTCCTGAATGTTGTTAATAATTTGTAATTTAGCAATCTCCCGTTCTAATCTGCTTCTGAAATTCCTTTGTTCTCTTTGCTCTCTCATCTGTTTATAAACTCTTTTATTGTGCTATGTGCTAATTTGCTGCTATTCAGGTCTTACCAATCGCCTTCATCCAGTCGTAGCTATATCTATTGCTCGGTTACTTATGCATCTTTACTCTAATTAGCCCTTCCTGGCACCCCCCCCCCCCCCCACTGATTAACTTTATTTTTTTCTGTTTCAGTTTATCTGACGAAGTGTGCGTGCACACAAAAGCTTATACTTTAAATAAAACTTCGTTGGTTCTAAAGGTACCCCATGCCATTGGACTCAAGCTTTGTCCTGCTGCGACCAACACGGCTACCCACCTGAATCGAACAAGAGCTGTAGTCCGTAGTGTGCGAATGAAACCTGGCGGTAAATTTGCGAGGCTGCTGGGAACTGTAGTCCAGCGAATTCGTGTAGTGGTGTAAGGGTAGGACTCTGGGAATCGACGAGAACTCTGTTTCCCAGCAGTCCGCGAGGCAGAAACGGCTGCCCGGGGTTTCTACGCTATTTCCTGGAGACAAGATGGCGGTGGTACTGGTGGTGCCCTCGCCTTGGCTCAAGATCCGTGGCTGCCTTCGGGGCTGGTTGGGACTACTCCGTAACCAGAGTCCTCCTTGGGGTAGGTGTTCTCCCCGGTGGTGGTTGCCTCTCAACCCTGGAGGATCACTGAAAATGTCGAGACAGTGTGTGACTGCAATAAAGAAGGCCAATGCTATGCTGGGGATTATTAGGAAGGGTATTGAAAACAGATCAGCCAATATCATAATGCCCCTATATAAATCAATGGTGAGACCTCATTTGGAATACTGTCTGCAGTTCTGGTCACCACACCTTAAAAAGGATATTATAGCTTTGGGAAAAGTGCAGAAAAGGGCAACTCGAATGATAAAAGGGTTGGAACACTTTCCCTATGAGGAAAGGTTAAGGCGCTTAGGGCTCTTTAGCTTGGAGAAACGACTGCTGAGGGGTGACATGATTGAGGTTTATAAGATTATATGCATGGGATAGAGCAGGTAGAGAAAGAGGTACTTTTCTCCCTTTCTCACAATACAAGAACTCGTGGGCACTCCATGAAATTGCTGAGCGGTCGGGTTAGAATGGATAAAAGGAAGTCCTTCTTCACCCAAAGAGTGATTAACACATGGAATTCACTGCCACAGGAAGTGGTGGCAGCTACAAGCATGAACAGCTTCAAAAGGGAATTAGATAAGCATATGGAGCAGAAATCCATCAGTGGCTATTAGCCACAAGATATAGATAGGAACTCTCAGTCTGGGGGCAAATGATGCTCTGTATTCTTATTTATTTATTATTTCAATTTATACCCCGCCCTCCCTGCAAGCAGGCTCAGGGCAGCTTGGGGGGGGGGAGTGGGAGGACTTCTAGTGTCCTGGCCCCACTGGTGGACCTCCTGATGGCACCTGGTATTTTGGCCACTGCGTGACACAGTGTTGGACTGGATGGGCCTTTGGCCTGATCCAACATTGGCTTCTCTTATGTTCTTATCTGCGGTCCTGGTTGGAGGTCTAGTCTAAAGCAAATGCTCTTGTAAATGTGCTAACAGGAAGGACACTATCAAAGACCTCCTCTGCCCAGTGCATCTCCTGGGCGAAGAGAAGAGATTCGGTTCTTGCTCCTCAGCAGGGATCATGAGAGTCAGTATGGGGTAGTGGTTAGAATGTTTGAAGCCCGTGTTCCGATCTTCTGCCTGCCAGGGAAGCTCACTCAGTGTCCTTGGGCCACGCACACATCTCAGCCTAACCTACTCCATAGGGTTTGGGGAGAAGAAGGGGAGGATGATGTTGCCAGCTGCTTTGGGTCTCCATTGGGGAGGAAGATGGTGTGTAAATGTTTCTTCAATATGACTTAATAAACAAATATAAGGGCACCGTGTGTATAGACAGTGGCCCTGGCTCACTGGTAGAGCATCTGCCTTGTATGCAGGTAGGTCCAAGTTTCTCTCCCTGGCACCTCCAGTGAAAAGGTTGAGGTAGGTGGTGGTGGTGAACTGCTACAGATCGGGGTACTGTGTATGAAACAAATAAAAGAACGACTTTGAACTTGATCAGAAGAGCAAAGCAAGGCGATTTATAACGTGGCTGTCTGTTGTCTTTTTAAGCTCCTGCTTTAGCTGTGCAGGGTCCAGCTTCTTTGCTCGAGCCTATGGGAGAGAAGGCTGAAAGCGATGAGACACCAAGCTTTCTAGACAACGTATTTTGGATGGCAGCCCCAAAGTCAAGGCGGACCATTGAGGTGAATCGCTGCAGGCGAAGGAATCCTAGAAACCTTTTAAAAGTTAAGGTAAATCATTGGGGTTTGTTTTTCTTTTTTGCACTGGTCCTAAAAACATTTCTTAGTAATATTTCAGAAATTGCAAGCAGGTAATAGGCATTGTGAGGATTGTTGGCTCAGTATGATAAATACCACTGAAGATTTCTTTAGCAGCAGTAGTTGTAAAAAGTCTTGCTCTCTGTATATGTTTGCACCAAAAATGTTTTAAGGAGCTACCTTTTAGCAGCATGAGAAAGTGCCATCAGCATGAGACTTGACTGCAAGATTTCAAAACTGCACAGAACTCTTCATAAGTAGCGTGTGTTTTTGCAGCCTGACTCTGACACTTGCATGAATGATCTGTGGAAGCGCATCAGTACTGGCTTCCAAGCAATGCTCCCTCTAAGCTGTGGAGTCTTGTGAGCCAAAAATCTAGCTACCGGCATTAAAGTTGTGAGCAAGTGATTTGGCTACTGCATAAATTAGTTTGCTCTGGAGCCATCCTTCCTGAGTGAAGACAAAAATGTGTGAGCCGGAGGCTTAGAGGGAACACTGCTTCCAAGTTGTGAAACTATCAAAAGGATGCTTCAGAGCAAGTGTTGGATGTGACACTGAAATATGATTTCAGTGCTTCATATATGAAGCTCATATTCTGAATTTGCAGTATTCTGTAGCAAGTTATTTAAACAGCTTTGTGGGAGAAACAGAAATTGGTAAAAAGTGGATTTTTAAAAATTTAAATCACAGTCAACTAAAATGCCTGAATGCCACCCCAGTCACCTTATATCTCTCAAATGAGGGGTTTCACACAACCAAAAGGCAAGCAGTAATAAAGAACGGTAGAACTTCAACATATTTCATCCACGTACCCTGAGAGCACAACCCTACACTGAATTGCAGCTTTCTAAGTCCATTGATGTCAGTGGACTTCAAAGGGTGTAACTCTGCTTAAGATTGCGCTGTTAATTTCCTCTTCGCTAGCCCTACCTGCAGAACAGGAAATATTTTGGAGAGACTGCTAATAGCTCAAAAATGGAAAGCTGAAGTTATACCTACAAGGGATGAATTAATACATAAATTATTGGAACTAGCTAGAATGGATAACTTAAGTCTAATGATACAAAATAAAAATGAAAAGGTACATGAAAAGAGATGGGAAAAAGTATATATGTGGATAGAAAATTTGACAGAAAATTAATAACCCCAACTTGTAAAGAAAAAACAAGAGATGAATGACTCTGAATTATATGTAACCGGAACAGATGAAATGTTTGTGTATATAAATGTTAAAAATAAAAAATTTTGAAGAAAAAAAAAAAAAGGAAATATTTTGGAGAATGCTACCTTGGCGGTCCTGGCCTTCAAACTCTTGACAGCAACCTGTATTCCCCCCCACACACACACACACAATTGCACTACACTTCTCACTGTCGTTGGTGCCAACAAGCACTATGACCACTGGCTCCTCCCCATCACTACCTGCTAGCCTACCTAGACAGCACGTGATATCTGTAGCCTTTGTACTTGGCAGGGAAGTCAGTATGCTGTCCAGATGCCCACCATAAGTACCGACAATGCCACCTTAAGCAGCGTTACAGGGTCCATTCAGTATTCATTTTTACGTGGTGGTGGAAAGTGCCATCAGGTCGCGGCTGACCCCATGGGGGCTTCAAGGCAAGAGACAAACAGAGGTAGCTTGTCATAATAATAATGATAATCTTTCAATTTATTGATCGCTCAATCCTTGCAGAGCTGCCGGCTCTGAGCGATTTACAGTTACTCATGAGTTGACACGGGACTAACAATGATGGGGGTAAGGGAGGACAACATATATAATTTTTAATCACACACACTTCGCAGTCGACAGGGAGTTTGGTCAGCTGTAAGCATCAGACGTGTTCCGGCAGCATTCTTTTAGTGGGCATTGCTTGATGTCGTCAGCATTTTTCTCGTTCGCAGCACACCACTGCCACCGTCTGGCCAGAATGGCCCATTGCAGGCTTTTCTTTCGTGCTGCATAGATCTCTCTCGCCTTTTTGAGCTTACGTGCAGACCTTCTGTTTGTCGGCTAACACTTCCCCACCAGGGGTTAAGTGTGCCCACCCTCTCTAAGGAGTGGTACCATTTTATCTACTCGCCGAAGCTTTCGAACCGCTGGGTGGACAGCAAGCTGGGGACACGGCTGGTAGCTCACACCAGTGCGGGGCTCGAACTGACCGCAGCTCAGATGTTTAACCAGAGGATAAATCCCCTGTGCCACCGCTCCCTGTTTCTGTGCAGCAACCCAGGACTTCCTGGTACTAGCCAGGGCTAATCTTGCTTAGCTTCCAAGATCTGGCTAGCCTGGGCCATCTAGGTTAGGGCTACAATCAGGGCCGGCTCACTCACTAGGCGAACTAGGCAATCGCCTAGAGCGGGCTGGCCCTTAGGGGCGCCAAACTGCACCTGGCCCCGTACTCTAGGAGTTTTTTGATTATTTGTGTTTTTCATTCTTCCTAAAATGCCTTTATTTTTGAAAAATGGTGGGCGCACGGGGGGGGGGGGCAGAAGGGATCCTCGCTTAGGGGGCAAAATAAGCTGGAGCCTACATTTTTACCTATAGTTAAATAAAACTTCTCTATGCAGCCAATATGTATCTCCCTCAAATGGGAAGGAAGTACTAATGTTCCCTGTTCCCACCTTCCTTCAAATTTCTTGGCATTTTTTCTTTGTGTTGTGCATTTTAATCCTGTGTTCTCTCTTGCATTTAGAGAAACATCGATCTTTGTCCCCAGTGCGGTCATGTCAAGCAGAAGCATCTTCTTTGTGGCTATTGTTACAAAAAGGTGAGAATGGAGACGACTGCCATAAAAGCCCAAATAAAGGTCCAGGAAGGAGGACCGCACAGAGCTCCTACCGTAGAGTCCGTTGTCCTGTATGAAGGAGAGAAGCCCAGAGAGCAAGATGAAGGGAAGCGGATCATCGAACGACCAAGGAAACGCCCATCTTGGTTCACTCTGGACTGACGATTTAGCACCGTGGATTCTCGGGTTACAAACTACTTGATTCTTCAGGGGGGAAAATTGAAAGGAATGTATCTTTAAAATGTACTAACTCTAAAACATGTTAAGGGCTTTTTAATACGGCATTACAGTCCAGTTGTTCTTTGTTTCTTCCATTAAAGTCTTAATGGTATGATAGTTGGAGAAATTTAAGTAGTATAATCTGGTTTGCCAACATAGCTACTGTGATGACATGTCACATGTCTAAAGTGAGTGATGCAAGACATTATTTTGCAGGACTGGATTCTTAGTACATATATATTTGGTGTCGTACACCACTGTACATTGTAAGTGGCCCGTTGTGGAGATTTATTTTTAAGTCCATGCGTAAACGGCATTTGAAAGTACAATAAACCATTTCAGCGCCATAATGAGAGTTGTGAGTTGCTTTGTGTTTGATGTTTTAGAAGAAGAGATTGGATTTATACCCTGCCCTTCACTCGGAGTCTCAGAGCGGCTTACAAACTCCTTTCCCTTCTCCCCACAACAGACACCCTATGAGGTAGGTGGGGCTGAGAGAGCTCTTTCCAGAACTGTTTTTGAGAGAACAGCTCTGACAGACTATGGCTTGCTCAAGGTCATCCAGCAGCTGTAGATGGAGGAATGGGGAATCAAACCCAGTTCTCTCAGATTAGAGTCCATGTACTTAACCACTACATCAAACTGGCTCTCTTTATTCAGTTATGAACTATGATGACTACTGAAATCAGGCCAGATGATTTAAGTGGACACTTAGACCTTCAGGGAAAATAGACTCAGTTGACATGGTACTGCCACTGAGTCAAGGCCAAATAGCTGAGATCATTTTGTGTGTGTGTGTTCTTTTTCCACTGGTACTGCAACCAAACACAAGTTTTTCAATACCTGCTTCTTTCATATTCTGTAAAACAGCTATTTACTTTTGGGGTAGTGTTAGGCCTTACAGTGCCTTAAGGCCCATTCATGAAAAGGGTAGATGCATCAGCAGTCCAAACTAAGAGTTAGATATGCTGAAGTACTTATGTCAATTTGATTCCATTGATCAATCCTGTCATGATGTGATTTTTTTGTCTTGCTGATTTTATTTCAGTCCCAGTGTCGTCTAAAGCGTTAAAATAGGTGGCAGACCTGGGCTAGATAGTGTCTGAAAATCACATTTGAGCTCGGCAGCTTCATCAAACAAGGGCAATTCACAGTGCAATTTGGGGACACTTTCCTGGGAGTAAGGCCTGCCTAGGATGGTATTATTTATCTACTGTGAAGCTGAGGGAAGAGTGTTTGCTTGTTTGCGGTGCAAGTATGGGAGTTCAGTGTAATGAAAGTGTCCTCTAAGACCGTAAGGCATTCTTTATGTTCTCAGCCATCTGTTTTGAAGAACCAAGGATAGACCTATGTGTATTATTTGCCCGAGCAATGTATTCTGATTGCAGGGGGTTAGTGGTTTTGTAAGCAGCTAAAAAAATCTGCAAGGACGGGACATGTGAGGGTCCTGAAAGTGGAGAGACATGACAACTTGTGGAGCAGGATTAGAAGCTGTGGAAAGTCTTAATACGACCCTTCCTAAGTGCTCACATTTTCAAATTCTTCTCAACGGTTAGGATTATGAGCTCCTAAAAGAGAAAGTTGAGATTGTCAGTGGAGAGCGTGGTGTTGAGTTCTGGCAGAGAGTTGCGCAGATAATTATACAGACTCCACAATTCAGACAAATGTGAGGAATCATATCCTACCACCCTGCTTAATTTTTACACACTTCCTAAGCCTAAGGAGGCTAATTTATTTAATTTATTGACTGCCCTCCACAGTGCAGACCAGGCTTGGGGTGGTGTACACACAATCAAAATCTCATATAAAGCTGTTTAACTTCAGACTAAAATAGATCAGGCTAAAACAGTAACACAGTAAAACAATAACAGCGTTCTGTGCACCTTGGTGTTTAGTCATGCCGGCCACATGACCGGGCAGATTTGCTCCCACCACCATTGGGAGCCCACCCAAGGGAGATAAGAAGGTCTCTGTTGAGGTGGACGAGACGGCGTCTTACAGCCAGCCCAAATGCATTGCCACACGTGCCCTGGGCTCCTCCAAACATGGACAGCTGGGAAGAGGTAGTTGGGCATTTGCCCTGGGTGAACACCCCAACAACCCTGCCATTTTCATGGTACATGGGAAACAACCCCCCCCCAAAAAAAAAAGTGAGAAGGAAAGTCTAACAGTCTGACACTTTTTGGCGGAGGGGGCCCACTGAGGTACACCCACACATGAGAGGGGTCAGGTAGGTTGCTGTTGGCTCTGCTCTTTGAATACTCCACCGTGTATGCAGTTTCTTGGTCACAGCAGAGCATCACTGAAAGAGAATCCTGCTGGAAAAGGCAATGTCTGGTGTACAAAAACGAAGAGAAGAAGACCCTGCAGGGGGCAGCAAGCGGATAATTAAGACAGGATAGTGAGGTCAGCACCTCACCTGTTCCGTGTCATTCCTTGCCTGTCTCCGGATTGCTACTCTCAGGGCAATTCCCCCCTTCTTCTAGGAAGTGCCACACTCAGTCTTACCCTCTCTCTCTCTCAGCTAGAGATTTAGTTAGGGACCTATCTCTGGCTCTCCTCTTTCCTACCAAGTACATTAATTCCTAAATAAACCTTTATCTGCTCTTTAATCAGGTTGTGCACCACTGCTGTGTTAATTACTCTGCCAACAAAGCCAAGGCCTTAAATAGGACGGTGTGTTGTCCACAAGGGGACGAATGGGCGTGGTTTCTCCGTCACAGCTACGGCTTCTACTATAACTATAGCATAGTAACAACAGGGCTTGTTCATGGCTGGTTTCTCTGCATTTTCCCAGCCCCAGTCCCCCACGGCTGCCATTTCCCACTGCCAACAAGGGGCTTTGGGGATGTTTTTAAACTGGCAACTGACATTTAAAAAAAACCCTGCTCCCCAAGGGCATCCAAGCCAGGGAAAACAACCTGTGTTGTGTTCAAGTGACAAATAAGCCGTATAAAGCAAGGGGATCGTGTGGAGACAGCCCTCACAAACCAGTTTCCCAAAGGAAAGTCGGATAGGCATGCATGACGGACCAAGAAAGACTTCAGATGTTTTCTGTGCAAGTATCAACTTCAACGCTCGGCAGATCGAGGACAACTGTCCCTTTTGCTCCACAGCACCTCTTTAGTTCTGGGATGATGCAAGGGGTGGGGTTCGGCCGATACCCTACTGCTGATCCACAGCCCCTCCCCCAGATATGTCAGTATACCTACAAATTATGCCAGCATAGGTTTTAGTTGGAAGGAGAAGGGGAAGAAGAAGAAGAGGAAGAGATTGGATATATACCCCGCCCTTCACTACCCGAAGGAGTCTCAGAGCAGCTTAGAATCTCCTTTCCCTTCCCCACCCCACAACAGGCACTCAGAGAGCTCTTTCGAGAATGGCTCATGAGAGAACAGCTCTGAAAGAACTTGTAACTGACCCAAGGTCACACCAGCAGCTGCATGTGGAGGAGTGGGGAATCAAACCCAGTTCTCCCAGATTAGAGCCTGCGCTCCTAACCACAACACCAAACTGGCATTCACGGTACAATCCTAAACAGAATTACACTCCTCTAAATCCATTAAAAACAACGCACTTAGAAAAGTATAATTCTGTTTCGGACTGCACTGCCAGAAGGCAGGGTTTAAGAGTGTGTTGTTAAAAGTCACAGAACTGTTAGAAAAGTAATTTGCAGCCCTCGCCTCCAACACAGATACTTTACAGTGCTGTGCAAAGCAGGTCTACTCAGAATCCCACTCAGTTCTCTTCAGTGGGGCTGAATCTCACAACTGAAGTAGCAGAGGAGAGAAAAGGAAAGCCCTCCCCCCCAAAACTTTATAGCAAATTAATCACAGTTGGCCTATGTGTCAAGGAGTCATCTTGCTCGCTTCCCCTGGAGGCCCGAGCCCTGAGTTGTACACTGTGATTTAATGACAGCGGACAGAGATCCCTTGCAGTCAGTTGGGCTTCAAAAGACTTCGTAATAGTCATAGAAGAAGTTCAGTGGTTCTGAACGAAAAACGTGCAAAGAAATAGGAAATGAACAAAGGTCAGCTGCACTTACTCCAAGCTAAGAGCGTGAAGGAACTTGGCCTAGTTTTAATGCTTCACAGGGCTGCCGACTCCAGGCTGGGAAATTTTTGGACATTTGCGGCTGGAGCTTGGGAATGGCAGGGTTTGAGTTAGGGGCCTTAGTGGAGTATAATACCATAGAGTTAGTCTTGCCAGCCTCCAGGTGGAAAGGGGGGGGGGGATGGTATTCTGTACTAAAAAAAAAACAAATGTAATAAGCAATAGTCTGTTGCACAGGGCTATTTTTTGGCAGGAACGCACAGGAACGGAGTTCCGGCTGGCTTCAGAGTTAGCCACGCCCAGCGGGAACTCATTAGCATGATAGGCCACACCCAACAGCAGAAACTCATTAGGATTGGCTACGTTAAGGGTGTGTAGCCTAACATGCAAAGGGTTCCTGCTCTACCAAAAAAAGCCCTGGGTTTTGACAACAAACAGGGTAAACAGAATAAGAAGCAAAAGGTGGGTGTGGCTGAATGACTACACTTCTGGGAACATGGGGGTGTGGCCTAATATGCTAATGAGCTGTGTTGTCAGGGGTGTGGCCTAATATGCTAATGAGTTTCTGCTGTTGGGTGTGGTCTATTATGCTAATACGTTCCTGCTGGACTTTTTCTACAAAAAGAGCCCTGTTTGCATATTTCTATTTCATGCTAATGTGTTAATTCGGTATTGAGGTTGGTGGTCACAACCCAGCAGTTACTGTTTATAATGTTAGTATGCTCCCAGGCACTACTTTACAACAATGATAGCTTTTGAACAGGTGACAATATACATATGTATGGATGTTACACTACGCCCTGGGATGACAATCAAAAAGTGTCCACAGACCTCCCATGACAAAATGATGCTGCTGATACAAGGAGGAAATTTCCTATGCAGCCGGCGTACAGCCGTCCCTGGTATGCCCGTGTTTCAATCTATCTTCCTCTCAGATCAAAGCAGCTGTGTGTATAACTTGGAACCACATTTCACAGAATATAGTCACAAAATAGGGAGCGGTGGCGCAGGCTGTAAAACGCCTGCTAATGTAACATCAATGAACAGCCACTATGGCTGTTCGAGACCCACCGCGACCGGGGTGAGCTCCCGGCCCTAGTCCCAGCTCCCGCCCACCCAGCGGTTCGAAAGCATTAAAAATAGCAAGTAGATAAATTGGGTACCTGCCCCTAGGTCGCAGGGGGCACCCTCCTCCTCGGGAGGTGTGCAGCAGGAGCATCGGCGGTGGAGCGACGGAACGGTGCGGTGAGCAAGCAGCCTGGCGACCCAAGTGAGCAATGGAGTCCGGC